CTGTGCTTGGGCTTGCCCTGCCAGGCTGCAGCCCCATTGCCACCCCGAGCATTTTTGCGTGCGCCTCCAGCTTCCCCCCCGTCTTGGCGATGTAGAACTTGTTGCAAACATGGCTGAAAGCGTTGGCCACCTCCTGGCAGAAACGCCTACACTCTTCCTGGTGCATGTTCGGCTTCTGCTTCAACACGACATCCTGGAGGTTCTTCCATTTGACGCGCGTGGTGAGCTGCGCAAGCGGCAAGAGAAACGGCATGTTGTTCTTCATGAAGTCATCTATGCCCCCTTGCAGTGGGCATTTTTCGATGAGATCAATGTGCTGTTTCACGAGCGGCTTCAACTGTTCCTCAGTCACAGAAGAAGCCCGTATCTTCACCTCCGTCTTACCCTTGACCATTGCCCACCCCCCGCGCAGTGCGCGCAAGCAAGAGTAGCGCTATGTGCCCTCGAGCCTTCGCAGCTGCGGGATGTTGTGACATGCGCGCAATGTGATGCAGCCGATACCCCTCACTCAGGGGACGCATTGCCCCCTCACTCAGGGGATCCTTAACAATGCGCGAGCGAAGAAAAGTACGACCTGGCCAAAAATCATGGGTTGGACTATAGTGCGACCCAAGGAAAGTGCCAGGTCGATCTATAGTTCGACCCCGCACTATAGATCGACCTTGGAGTCTCAAGGCAGTGCCAGGCTGCTCCCATCGTATTTCATGGCCACATCCCAGAGGATGCGTTCGAGCACCCAGAAAAGTGTCGAAACAGTGTCGAACGAGTATCGCCTCCCAGGGCCCGACACGCGAGACCCTCCAGTATAGGTGCTTCTTGGTGATCGACTCTCTTTCTGGCGTTCAAGGCTAAAGTAGGTTGGAAGATCATAGCCCCAGTACAGGGGGATTTGGAGGACAGGTGGGCCATGCACCCATCGCCCTGGCCTGGGAGAGCAGAGAGCTTCGAGACCGAGGCTCGGATCACGTGGGGAGTCCGAGTGCGTGTTTTCCCCTCCTGCCTCCCAGAGATGCGACGTCCTGCTTTTTCTCAATTCCAGACATGATCGCGTCGAAAAAAAAACACGACGGGAGGGTGTGGGCAATTTTCGGCCACCAGTGGCCCTCGCCAGGCTTCGGGACCGTCCAAAAAACACGACCCAGGATGAAAATCCGGTCCGGGGAAAAGGGTCAGGACTTCCGGGGACCGCGCATCGAACAATCGAGACGTCGCACGTCTGGGATACAGGAGGGTCCCCGGCAGTCTCGACTCGTTCCCTGCAGCCAGTTTTTCATCCCGAGTCGCTACGTGACCGTCCCGGGGCCCGCGAGGGCTCCCGGAGGTCGAAAACGGTCCATCCCCTCCGCCTTCCCCCAATCAGTGATTTTGTACGACGCGATCATGTCTGGGCTCTGGTCCCCGCCGCCCCACCCGGCCACGCGCAGGCGGGTGTAGGGGAGGGGGGGGGGGAGGCTTCTCAGAAGCACCCCTGCTTCTCAGAAGAGGCGCGGGCCTTGCCCCCGGGCGTGTGGGGCCCGCGCCGTCCGAGGAACCTCCCCCTCCCCCTGCCCCCTCGCGCGCGGCGCCAGTCCCAGTCCGAGCGGCTGTGCCGGGCCCGCGCGAGCGCGAGCGGCTGTGCCGAGCCCGCGCTCCCCAGGTCGCGAAGCGCGGCCCTGCCCTCGGCCAGCTCACGGCCGGGAGTTTTGGCTTCTATACAGCGAGCCGCCGCGCCGGTCGGTGGCCCACCACGGGCTTTGGCGCGACGTGCTGCCCACGCTGCCCTTTGGGTTTCTCCACAGGCGTGGGGCCCTTTGGGTTTCTCCACAGGCGTGGGGAGTACCCCCCCGACGGGGGTCGGCCTCGCCTCGTCGTCGCGCCGCGATGGGGGCCGGAGCGCCTTCGGCGCGCGGTGGCTGCCCGCGACGGGGGGCCGTCGGCGGGGGCGACGCCCCCCCCCCCCGACGCATATGGAGAAACTCGGAGTATCCTGCCCCCTTCGCGCGCCGCCAACGCACGCATCTACGCCCCCCTCCTCAAGATTGCGGAGGGGTAGGAGTAAGTCGGGCTTGTCCCTCTACAGGGGATACGTTCAAACAATAACCAACAAAATAGTCTGGGGACTATTCATATTCAAACAATAATCAACAAAATAGTATGGGGACTATTTATTGACCATTTTGGAACCTTTTTTTTGTTTTTTTGTGGTATTCTTTATTTTTCGTCCAAAATCGGCCTGAGGGGGGGCAGGCCCGCCTAGAGGGCAGGATGCTCAGCACAGGTGCGCGCCCGCGGCATGCCCGGCGCCCCGGCCCTCGCCCACGCGGCGGCCCTGCCCCACCCGAGCCGCAGCGGGGGGGGGCAGGGCTCGACCCGAGCGGTGCTCTGTGGCGACTCCGTGGGCCGCTTCGTGGGCCGCTCTCAGGGGCAACGATAGGGGGGGATAGGCATAGGAGGGGATGCAATATTCTCGGGGGCGGCAAAGATGGGGGTGATGACTAGGGGGGGGTGGATATCATGCCATGATATCTCCCCATATTTCGTGGCGCCTCTTCTTGTTTCATTACGTCCCTGGCCCCCCCGCTGGGCCGCGCACGTGCCGCCGGTCATGATTTGCACCCCCCCCTCTTTGAGCCCCCCTCTTGGCCGCTCCCGACATAGGGGGGATGCATTCAAAAATAGTAAAAAAATAGTCGGGGGATTATTTGTTGACTATTTTGGAGCATTTTGGGAACATGTCTTGAATGTTTTTCCTTTTTTCCTCCAAAATCCCCCTGTAGGGGGACAGGCCCGACCTAACGATAGGGGGGGATAGGCATAGGGGGGGACGCATCGACCCCCAATCGCCCATTGATCGTCGATAGGAGCCCGATAGCCCCAACCTGCCCAGGAAGGTGCGGATTCACTATCGGAGGCCTATCGCCGATCTATCGGCGATGTATCGCCGATTCCATGTCAATGCATCCCCCCTATGCCAGTCCCCCCCATCGTTGCCCCTCACGTTTTCGAATCTGCAGCAGAGGCGGAACGAAGACAGACTGAGGCGGCACGAACGCAGCACGGAAGCGAAAAACACGGCTCAGGTCGAGCCCCGCGTCCTGCCTCGCCTCCACCCCCACGCGGGCCCCGTCGAAGTTCGAAGCGGGGAGGCGTCATGCGTCGCTCCGCGGGGCTCTCGTTCTGCGACCGGCCTGTGGCCGTCTCGCTCCGCGTTTGGGCCACGGCTGCGCGCTGGCGCGGGTCGCGCTCCGCGATGGCGGCGACAGGCGTGGCACTTCACTGCGCGACTGAGCGCGCGCGCGGGCGGGAGCCCGGCGTGGGCCAGGTGGCCCCACATACAGCGGGTGGGGATCCCCGTCCGCGACCAGACGGGGGGAGCCCCTCCGCGACGGGGGTGGCGCTTCGGTGCGCGACGGGGCGCGGCGCACGCAGGGGGGGAGGCTCGCGCGGGTCAGGCCGCGTCGCGTCGGCAGGGGCCTCGCTGCGCGATAGAGGGCCCACGGAGGCTCCGGAGGGCGAAGTCCGCGTCGCAGCGGGCACGCTGAAATCTTACAGGATCGCCGTCGCAATCCGTCATGATTCTGGGGGAAGTCCCCGGGACTGTTGAGGACATCGCTGCGGTCGGGAACTCTGGCTAAGCGCGTCGCTCCGCCGGTTCTGGCCCACCACGCTTCGGCGCGACACGCCGTCAGCGTCGCCGCCACCGGGCGCCAACGTCCCGAGAGCTTTCTCGAGCCTGCCGCCCCGCGGAGCGGAGCGACGCGCTATCCGCTCGCCGGCCATGGCGTTTCGCCGGGTTTCGCCGCGGCGACGCGCGAAGCAGCAGTTCCTGACCGTAGGTTTACTCAAGAAATCTACCGGATACGATGGGGTTTCCTCAGGCTGGTTAGCGAGAGCCCGTAGCGCTCCTGAGGATTTGTCCTATTCCATTGGAATTCTTGAGAGGCGCGAGGACTCCTTAGGGAACCGTGTAATTGCGGAAGGAATCATCGGACGCAGTGGGACATGATTTCGAAGGACATTTTGAAGATGCCACAGCACACGTTCAGATTTCTCGGGAAACTTTCGAGACTCGGATGAAATCGTCCGGATTGAGGGAATCCTCAGGATTGCGGGGGACACCGCCATACATCCTAAGGCTTGCTGCAGAAACCGCCGGGAAATCTTGGGGGTCCCTGGGGCAGGCCCCAGGAGCAGGAAACTGGATCGAGCGACGGGAGAAAACGGGGTCGATTGCTCGGATCTTTGCGCGTAAGCTTCCCGCGCCAGGTCATGCGGAGAGAATGGGCGCGATGTTCAACATCGACTAGACGTAAGAATGACTTTTCGCCGGAGTGACCTTTTGTGCGGGCACAAATGGGTCCCCAGATGGTTGAAAACGAAGCAGTAGCAGCTGTTTGTGTGCCCAGGTTTGGTCCCCCCGCGGCCCCCCAAAAGTCGCGCACCGGAGGTCACTCTTACCCAGGGTCAAGGGTCACTCTTGCGTGTAGCCGGCAACAGCAGTTCCTGCTCATTTTGAACAGGAGCTGCTGTCCGCGCCGCCGCGGACGTTGTCTACTGAAGACACGAGGCCGCATGCCCAACTGCGGCCGCTGTCGGTGTTGGACGACATGTGCTGTCAGGCACTATACCCAGCTTTTCCGTGCACACCGTTCGCTTCTAATCCCTCGAAACTTCTTCGATCTTTGGGGGGCCAAGATCCTCTCATTTCTAACTGCTCCATCCTGGGCCTCTTCCTGGCCACTGGGGCGGCCAGGCACAATTAGCAACGAGCACAATTAGAACTGAGCCCGATTTGACATGAGCGACGTGTACACGTCGTCTGTTGAAAGTCGGTATTTTTGGATTCCCAGGTCTCAATCTACTTGAAGCGTCTTCCTACTTCAAGCGTCGACATGACTTGGCTGTGTTCTGTCATTCTCTGGGAGGGCCTGGACGCAATCCCCTCTATCCGCGTTCCTACTTCCTGTCCTTACGTGCTTCTTCCGACCGACGTGTACCCTCCGTCGGGCGTCCAGCAGCCTCGAGCTCCAGCTGTGGGGCCTCCTTGTCGGGCGCCTTCCCGGACCGCCCGGCGCCACTCCCTGCGGGCGTTCGGCCCGCCCTGCGCCGCGCACCCCGGGGCCTCGCCTCCTCCCTGCCTCGCGCGCCCGCGGGCGAGGCCGGCCTCGCCGGGCCCCGTCGTCCGTGGGTGCGCCTCTCCGGGCAGTGGCGGAGGGTTTCTCCACAGGCGCGGGGGGTACCCCCCCGACGGGGGTCGGCGTCGGCCTCGCCTCGTCGTCGCGCCGCGAGGGGGGCCGGAGCGCCTTCGGCGCGCGGTGGCTGCCCGCGATATGGGGGTCGGCGTGGGGCCGTCGGCGGGTATGCTACCCCCTTCGCGCGCCGCCAACCCGCGCATCTACCCCCCCCCTTCCTAGAGACTGCGGAGGGGTAGTCAAGCAGTGGCGAAGCGTCCTGGCTCGCCTACAGCCCTACTAAAACATGTGATAAGAACCTTTTGTGGCTTATGCTCTAAGAACCTTGTTTTTGCTCTTAGAGCATTTCTGGGTTCTCAGAACATGTCGTGGTAGGGCTATAGAATCGCCGGGACGGTGGGTCCATGCTCAAGCGTCGCGGCGCTCGCCCTGGGGATGACGGGGTGTAGCTCTAAGTCGGGCGCGTCCCCTTCTACGGGAGGAATCTGGGATAACCTTGGGGATTTGTTCAGAGATGGCTATTTCTGCTCCTCCCTCCCAAGGCCCCCCCCCCCCCTGTAGGAGGACATGCCCGACCGAGGTGTAGCTCGAAGGGGCCAGGCCGCTCGTGCATGCCGTGCCCTCTCGAGGCCACGGCGGGCGGCCTGTGAGCCCCCGCCGCGGGGGGCGGACCCTCGGCCGGGGAGCCCTGCCCGGGCGCTGGTCCGTCACAGCCTGCTTGGCTTGTCCCGGCCTCCTCCCTCGGCTGCACGCAAGAGTGACCTGTCGCCGGAGTGGCCTCGGGTGCGGGCCCAACGGGGGCCCCCGATCGCCGAGCGCGATGCGGTAGTAGCGTCTTGCGCGCTCGTGTTCAGTCCCCCCGCGGCCCCCCGAAGGCCGCGCACCGAAGGTCACGCTTACCCAGGGTCACTCTTGCGAGTGGTCGAGAGGAGGACAGGGAGGAGGATCGAGGAGAAGAAGGACGAGGAGGGTCGAGGTTTTCTGGCGCTTTGATTCCTCCTCGTCGGGCCCCTGGAGGCCGCCAGGGACCTCGTTTCACGTGCCTTCAGACCGCGAGGCACGGCCGCATCGCCAGCCCATTGAGCGTCAGTCCTTGTTTCAAGTGCCCCCCCCCCTGAGCAAGTGAATCGTCGCAAACTGCCGCAAGGGCAGCAGACCTCCCAAACGGGGTCGGAGCCACACCAATTGCACCACATACATTGCACCACGTATCATGTTCCACATCGATTGCACCACATTGACTGCACAACATGGCTAGCTCCGAATGGATTCCATCAAGCAGACTGTGAGTGCGCCACATATACTGCACCACGTTATATGATAGCGTTTTTGGATCCTGGGCGATAACGCGCATTACCAGGGGGAGGGGGAGGGGGCTGGTGACGTAACGTCAGTTTTCGCGTCGGCGACGTCTCGGGATGTCGATGAATAGCCAAGGCCAATTCGGAGGTCAGCACAGATCGTGACGTTATTTGGGGTGGGAGGGTGGGGGGCGGCTGGGGCTGATATCCGCCGCTCCCGCGAAATAAAGAAGATTTATAGTGCACCGCGTGGATTGCACAGCGTAGTTTACACCACGTATGTCGCCCAACACACACACATATGTTCATGTCTATACATGTGTTCATGCATTATGCATACATATACACATATATAGATTGGAAAGTAAGTAATAACGCTCCTCTCGCTACATTTTCCCAACCATCCTCTGGTGTTGGGTCCTCGTTTTGAAGAGACCGCGCCGCGCCCCACGTTCCTTTTCCCTCTTTCATCCTTCCTCCCCTCCTCTTCCCCTTCCTCCCTCCTCCGCAGTTTGCGCGCGTCTCCCCGCATGCGTCTCCCACACCCAATACAGCGCTTCGTGGCTCCATAGGGAACTCCACCGAAGGTCCCACTGGCGCAGCCCGCATGCGCCTCCCACGCCCAGTTTAGGAAGCTCCACCGAAGGTCCCAGTGGCGCAGCCCGCATGCGTCTCCCACGCCCAGCACAGCCCATCGTGGCTCCATAGGGATCTCCACCGAAGGACCCAGTGGCACAGCCTGCATGCGTCTGCGATGTTCACAGCTGCAGATGGTTGGGTCCTTCACTTGGCTATTTGTTCCTTTTGCGCAAACACCCAGTATGGATAGTTGGTGCCGCCATGATTGACATTACTTGTAGTTCTTTGTGCTTGCTTAGGTAACAGGTTGCACGCGCGCGCCCTCCCCCTGCCCGGGCCGGGCTCTCCCACGATACCACATGCACATGCCCTAGCACATCCGCTCAACGGACATCGTAACCATGTCTACTACAAGGTCTACATATCCGAGATCAGCACGAGGCCAATACTTGACCAGATGCAGGTCTTTAGGACCAACAGAATCACCAACATAAGCCATTGCCCGATAATTCAATTCCTGCTACCATGGGAATGCTCTGCCACAGTGCTGGTTATGAACCGAAGGGCTCACCGCGAGGTTCCGCGACTGCGTCGCACACTTCGGGGCTGCTGCGGGGGCGCTGGGGCCAAACGGGCACGGACATGTGACGGGCCCGAATAAAAGTTTTCGTTGATGGACAAGATATCGGGCTCATGCCTACCGCGCAAGGACATGGTGAATGCCACCTTGGTAAAAGAGCCTTCGCGGTCGCGCCCGGTGACTGCGTCACTGGCGCGGCCGCGGGCTCCCCGCATAATCTCAGTAAGCCGGATTCCGCCGACCGAACTGATGCGCCCATGAGCTATGGCGCGGGTAAGCCAGGCACCCTGGGGGATGGCCATCTTGCGGGGGAGGATTACTTGGAGTGGCACGGGGGCCGGCAAACCCCGCGTTTCCCGCTCCTGGCGATGGCCAGACTGGGCAACGTCATTACCTCCGACTCACCCGACGGCATTGCCCCCATTTCGTCGGAGGCCGATAGGCCAGTCAAGTCGACTCCGCGCCTTTCCCAGATGAGAGAGGAGCGCCAGCCCCCCTCGCGACGGCCCGAGCATCTGCTATGTTAGGCCGACGCCAGGAGCTGGGGGCATGGGGGCAGTGATCGATGGGCAAGAGGCCGAGGGCAACTATGTTGCCCAGAGTTCTCGCGTCGACGCGCCCATTGATTCAGCGAGCGGACGAATATGGCATCGGACCTCGAGGGAGAAGATCCAGCCCGTGCGGACTACGCTCTGCCGCAGACGATGGAGGCAGATGATGTGAGAGGACGGGCCTCTAAGCAGCCGTGGCCGCCGGTGGACTTGTCCATGGCGTCTCCGACGGGTGAGCGGTCGAAGACAGAAGGGGCGCCCGCGTGGAACCCGGGGGGGCGGCGAGGGGAACTGCGTTCCCGTGTCGCCGGGTCCCGTCGACTCCCTGGGACACCCAGGATCGCCGCGAAGGATTCGATTGGGGCGCCATGCGACGGCCTGTGCCCCGAATTCGCTCGAGGGCGGGTTCGCTCCGACGGCGAAAGCCTGTGCCCTCAGGACTCCATCGGGCGCGCCCCGGCCACGCGCTCGCTCTGCCCGGTCCAATGCATCGCGCGCGAAGATCTTAGAGCCACGCGCCGACTTCGCGTCGACCTGCGCCCAGTTTCCAAGGAGCTGTCCCACTGGAGATCGCGGGCGGTACTTGAAGCATGTCTATCGCGGGTGCTCTTCGAGTTGCCAGCGCTGCAACCTCGCATTCCTCTGCCCAGGCTGCCCCCCCCAGAACTGCATGGCGCGGCGCAGGCAGGACTTGGGGAGGGGCGAGGAAAAGTGGCGCAAGGCAGTTATCGACGAGAGGGGCGGCGAGCTGGCTCAGGCGAGGGAACGGCTCGCCCAGACGGACCTCCAACAGCGAGCTGCAGCGCGCGCCTTCGCGCCAAGGCAGACCGCGCCGAGATGGCGCGAGTGCTTCGCGATAAGAATGATGAGGCAACGGGCCATGGCCTCCGAACAATCGCTGACGGCATCCGCTGAGCTGAGGGAATTGGCCCGCAAGATGCAGGCGTCTGTCGCCCACGAGAAGCGCGCCTGGGATCTCGAGAGCAACGTGGCGGAAGAGGCCAGGTCCGCGATGCGGGGCGCCGCTGAGGCGCTGGGGGCTGCCCATCCGAAGGCCGCCTGCGATGTCGAGGCGACGGGGGCGAACGACGCGCGGATCAAGACCGAGACGCGAGAGGCGCCGATGACCGTTCGAGCCGAGAAGGCAGCCGCGGAGGCAACTGCCTTCCGCGCGGCGCAGCAGGGCACGGCGATGGCGGAAAAGGACTTGCCGCCCCCAGACAGACCGCATACGCAATCCGATGGACCGGGCCCTCCTAGCGGCGATGACGGACCAGGCGAGGGCGACGACGGCCCGTCCGACCATGGCCCTGATTTCGAGCCGGACGACCCTTGAGAGGACGAGGGTGAGGGCGATGGAGAACGGCGCCGAGACCGCTGCAGTGGGCGCATGGCGGTCCTCCCGCCCTCGACGGAGACGGAGGCGATTCCGTGCAACGGAGGGCCGTTGGCCGCGTCGCATGCTGAAGCGACGCAGGGAAGACCGAACAGGCGTCCATCGACCCCATCCCCGACGCAGCTGGCCCCCGAAAAATGGACAGGAGGTGTCGTTAGACACGTCGCATCGTGTTCCCCCAGCTGGGAAGCCGCCGCCGCGTGGGTCTCTGACGCGTGCGACCTCAAAAGGGCGGAATCCAAGTCCCTCGAGGACTTCGGGCTCCCGCGGGCGATTGGACCGAATAGTTGCCTCCGACCTGATGAGTAAAATCAACAGCATCGCCCGGTATCAGAATTCTTCTTCGCGCCTTCGGCGCCCAGCGCGCGGCGTGGGCCACTGCGACGCTGCGATGTTGACGAAAATTGTGATGCTGAAGGGTCGGTCTATCTTGCGGGTCATTGCCGTGCGCGTGACTGCGCGCGGAGATCACGGCAAGGTACACAAGT